TTTTTCATCCCGTGATCTGTAGGGTCGCAGGGGCACCATATGTGCTGCAGCCACATTAGAAGTGGTCTTTCTTGGGCAAGGTAGCCTGACGGAGTCCAACCCTCTCTAGGCCGATTTTGAATCCAGAGTTTTTCTTTCTTGCCATCCATGATTATAGAACCCAGTCTGTCCTAATATTTACCTATAGCTGGTGGGGGGGGAGATGAAGAGGATTCATATCTTTCCAAAGGGCATTAGCACGTAATTGAATGTAATTGATCCGATTGGAATTCGAACTCGGCTCTCCGATTCCTCAATACGAGCCACTATCCATTACTCCAAACCACCCCTTACCTACACGTTACAGATGTATATAAAATATAAAAGCAAATATAAAATGTTACATGAAAATAATTACATTATGTTATAGGCAACACGTTATTCACCTAATACAAGGCCCAAGAGCCCCTAAAGGAAGAGAGTTAGTGGGTGCCGTTTTATTAGCGTAAGAAAGGGCAAGATAAAAGGAAAGACAGACAACTAATTCTAGGCTTAGAGAAGTAATGATTTATTTTAATAAACCTCTACTTCTGTTCAAAAGGCGAACCAATCTATTGCAATTGGTGGAGGAGAGAGAAATAAATAAATAATTAGCGAATAAAATTTCAGAATTGAGGCGTAACGTGTTGGCTGTACTCGTGAGAACATTTTTTTTGTATCTCTTTGAGGCATGGACTACCAGGAATCTCTTCATTTAGTCTACTGAAATCTTTTCCAATCAATCCTAGGGCTCCAACTACAACAGGGATTGTTGATGTTCCCATGTGCCACATTTTGAGATTTCTATTTCAGGGTCCTTGTATTTTGACAGCTTTTTGAATATCTTCAAAGATTCATTGCAGTCTGCAGGGACTGCCTTATCAATAAGGAGGCACTTTTTTTTGTTTGTGGTCATTAATAACAATGTCTGGGCGGTTAGCTTTGATTGTTCTGTTAGTGTGTATTGTGTAGTCCCATAGAATTGTTACAGTTTACAAGGTCTGGAGGATATTCACACCAATTTCTTATGGTTTACTTCCTTTAAAAGTTGCATATTGACCATGAAGAGGCTTATTTTGCCATCCTTTCTGCATTTGGTACATTGCATTTGCTTTTGTTTTCTCTTGTAAGTTTTTTTTCGTTGCTGTCCGTGTACTATTTTTGCTTCATTGATTTCCGCAGGATACACCGTTGTTATTCCGTTAATATTTTGTAAAAAAAAAAAAAAAAACAGACTAAGATCACACCCATTTTACATAGATAAAGCCGATCGTAATGTGGGAGCTGTTCTTGTATTTCTTTAAGAAATGGGCTTCCACGAATTCCTTCAATGGATCTATCAGAACATTTTTCACTCAAATCGCGGGCTCCAACTACAACTGGAAGTATTGATGTCCTCATGAGCTACATTTTTGCGATTTCCACTTCAAGAACCTTTTATTCTGATAGTTCTTTGAAAATCTCCAAAGATACATTACAATTTGCAGGGACTGCCATGTTAATAAGAAAACACCTTATTTTTGTGGGTCTCTGATTACGATGTCTGGGGGATTAGCTTTGTTTGTTCTGTCTCTGTGTATTGTAAAGTCCCATCAAATTGTTACAGGTCCAATGTGTGTAACCGGATCTGGGTGATGTTCATATTAGTTTCTTGCAGTTTTCTTTCCCGTAAAAGTAGCATATTTTCCAGTGCAGATATTGGCCAACTCTATCATACTTAGTTTTATATTCAGTGGGTGATAACACTGGGCAACCTCAACCTGATGCAAGATGGCCAATTGTTTCTGGATATTTATCACAACATATGCATTTCGGATTAATATAATAATAATAATAATAATAATAATAATGAGTTTCAAATGGATGCAGAAATACAAGTAAAGCACAATATACCGACTGAAGCTGCAAAATATTTAAAAAAGAAAACAAAAACAAATGCAACCGACCAGATACAGAAACAATGGCAAGATAAACTGCTTCATGGCCAATACTCTGCCCGTACCAAACAAGCTAATATAGACAAGCCTCGTACCCATCAGTGGCCACGCAGTGCACGGTTAAAAGCTGAAACGGAACGTTTTATCCTTGCGGCACAGGACCAATGCTTGTTAACTAGGGATTATCAAACACATATACTAAAATATTGTGTTAGCCCAAAATGCAGGTTCTGTGATAGTTACCCAGAAACAATCGATCATTTTGTATCAGGTCGCATGATATTGGCACCCACTGAATATAAAACTCGGATTAGGCCAATATCTGCACTGGAAAATGTGCAACTTCTACGGGAAGGAAACTGAAAGAAACTGGTATGAACACCACCCAGACCAGGTTACGGAGATAGGACCTGTTACAATTCTATGGGACTACACAATACACACTGACAGAGCAATCAAAGTCAACCGCCCAGACATTGTTATTAATGACTACAAACAAAAATGGTGCCTCTTTATTGATATGGAAGTCCCCGCAAACTGCAATGTATCTTTAAAGATATTCAAAAAGTTGTCAAAATACAAGGACCTTGAAATCGAAATCTCAGAAATGTGGCACATGGGAACATCAACAATCCCTGTTGTAGTTGGAGCCCTAGGATTGGCTGTAAAAGATCCAGTAGAGTAATTGAAGGGATTCCTGGAAGTCCATGCCTCAAAGAGATACAAAAAATTGTTCTGAAAAGTACAGCCCATACTTTACGAAGGGCTTTGTCTATGTATTTTTTTTTCAGTGGAAAGTGTCATGATGCCATTTCCAACCTTAGGTCCCTGGGCAGGACCCGGAAAGAAATGAGTACACATCAGAAATCAAAGGAAGTAAAATAATAATAATAATAATAATAATAATATAGAATTAACAATAATAATAATGATAATATAGAGTAATCATCATTAGTTTACAAATATATACCTGAAATAATCTTTGAAATAAAAGCCAGTGTTAAACTGAAAATTCTTTTTAATCAGTTCATCCCAAGCAAGGCGATAATACCCCTAAGACGCAAGAGACTACTGGGAGTGTAAGAATCCAATCTTAAACTGAAAACAAATGATAAACCTCTACTCCTGCTCAAAAGACCGGGGAGGAGTGTGAACCGGACCGGAAATAAAAATGTATTTTATTTCATTTTATATATGTCTTCTTCCTTCAAGCTATGGGTAAATAGCAGGACAGACTGGGTTCTATATCCTTGGATGGCAACTGGTCTAGGAGAAGGACAACTCTGAATTCAAAGCCTGCGGAGGGTCGTTTGGTGATCTTGTGGCACGTAGTGCACCAGGTCTATGTATTCGGCCATACAAAAAGTGTGGTTGGTTCTGCACAAAGACTTCACCAATATAATCAAATCATATGTGCTGTTGTCGGGCTGTCGGTTTTCTAGGAACTGATCTGCTTGACCCTCATATGTCGAATTCGACGAGAGAGTCGAGTAATTAACTATATATGTGTTAATTAACTGAACGAAATCTTTTAGTTTGTTAACATAGATTCAAAATCAGTTCAAATCTTCGAAACTAAACGCCATTTAAGTCCAAGTTATTGGCAGAAATGAAAATGACAATAAAACACTTATGACGTCCTCAGCTTAATTCTTCTGCGAATTGGACAAGCAGATAGGAAAAAATGTAAAAATTCGAATGTAAAAGACCTATTTCCTTTGAAATCACATCCTGAATACATGCCAGTTTTGTGACTCTAAGTTATGGCAAAAAAGAGCCACCTTTCCTTTCTTTCCCAGTTTTGATATCCTGCGCCATACGGATCTGCAGTAGATGATCTTTGTCTGTTTCCTTCCTTCGTTGGAGGCTTCCTGTTATTCTCGAGACAGACGCGCCGTAAATACACCGTGAAATTGTAGGCATGAGAAAGTCTGTCAGAGATTATAAGCAGATAAAGGTGTAAGGAGGTGTGCATTTAAAATCTATCTATCTATCTATCTATCTATCTATCTATCTATCTATCTATCTAAGTCTGTTCCTGTCTACCTACCTATCTATCTCAGTGTTTTAATGATCTATCTATCTATCTATCTATCTATCTATCTATCTATCTATCTATCTATCTATGTTATACTGTTCATTATCTATCTATCTATGTCAGTCTGTTCCTGATCTATCTATCTATCTATCTATCTATCTATCTATCTATCTATCTATGTCAGTCTGTTCCTGATCTATCTACCTAGCTATTTATCTCAGTGTTTTAATGATCTATCTATCTATCTATCTATCTATCTATCTATCTATCTATCTATCTATCTATCTATCTCAGTCTGTTCCTGTCTACCTAACTATCTCAGTGTTATAATGATCTATCTATCTATCTATCTATCTATCTATCTATCTATCTATCTATCTATCTATCTATGTTATACTGTTCATTATCTATCTATCTATCTATCTATCTATCTATCTATCTATCTATCTATCTATCTATCTATCTATGCCACCGTTTTCATATCTATCTATCTATCTATCTATCTATCTATCTATCTATCTGTCTATCTTATGATTCTTTGCGGATGGAGAACCTCTAATGCTGCTAATAATCTCACATTAACGCAGTTGACAATCTGTAATGAATTGGTAATAGAGAAATGGTGTCAAGGCTCAGTGTTCAACTCCTGAAACACATTGTCGAATATTTTAAAATATTTATGTGTGTGTGTGTGTGTGTGTGTGTGTGTGTGTGTGTGTGATTACAATTATATAATGTTGAAACACCGGTTCTCGTCCTATCACCGAAGTTAAGCAACGGTGAGCCTGTTCTCTACCTAGAAATGTGATCGCTGATGAATACCAGGTGCTCTTACCTAAAACCCAGGCCTTTTAAGCCGGCAATCTATAAAATCTAATACTAATAGAAGACCCTAGATAGATGGACGTGCTTTTGATCTGGGAGGTGACAAGACCAACCTGGATTTAGTCATGGAGAGTGCAGTATTATTATTACGGGTTTCTTTTAGTTTTAGTTCTGGGGACTTAATGCCGCTAGAAATAAAAAAAAATAATACGTTGTTTTCTTTCATTTCTTTTTCTTTTTTTCGCATTTTTTTTTTCTTTGGGCGGGTTCCGTATTGGTCAGGTTGTTCTTTTATACTTTACCGATTACATGTTTTCTTTTTCTTTTATGTCTCGCTCTCTCTTTCCATATCTATCTATCTATCTATCTATCTATCTATCTATCTATCTATCTATCTCAGCCTTTTCATTATCTATCTATCTATCTATCTATCTATCTATCTATCTATCTATGTCAGCCTTTTCATTATCTATCTCTCTATCTCAGCCTATTTATTATCTATCTATCTATCTATCTATCTATCTATCTATCTATCTATCTATCTATGTGTTATGGTCCAGGTTAGGACCAAGGAAGAACAACACGAAAACAAGAGTAGAAATAACAAAGGTATATTACACAAAAATATAATAATACAAGATGTGGAAGGTGTTAGTATGACTGTCAGTCTGGTTTGGAGTGAACTATTATCGGCTCGACTCGATTCATCCTTCTCTTTTGAGAGGCGTAGTATACATAGTGTTAGGAAGAGTTAATTCTGTCGTTATAGGTAAGGACCCATGACACGATGTCATCCTGTTCCTATCTATCTATCTATCTATCTATCTATCTATCTATCTATCTATCTATCTATCTATCTACGTTCAGGAATTAGGTGTAATCATTGAAGAATGGAAGAATATCCTGGGAAAGATTTGTTCAAATTTCATCAAAAAACTTTTGAGAACAATTACAGCAAGTTATAAAGGTGAGAGGTCATGCTATTATGAAGATTGTTCAATTTTTTTCGATTTTACACTTCTGCCATGGCCTTCCGTGAGTCCTGACTTGAATCCTATTGAAAATATTTGGCAAGAATTTAAAGTTCAAATAAATCGTCGGTCACCATAAAAGCTTCAGGAATTAGAACGTGTAACGATTGAAGAATGGAAGAAAATCCCAGAAAAGATTTGTTCAAATCTCGTCAAAAAATTTAGAAAACGATTGCAGCAAGTTATGAAGACGAGAGATCATGATATTGACTATTAACTGTGAAAATTGTTAATTTTTTTATTTTTCTTACTGTATGAATAATTTTGTTTTTCCTGTTTTGCATAATTCGCCTGTCAAATTTGTTGTAATTAACCTATTGTTCTGAAAACTGACTTTTATATTCCTGTTTTTGCTTATTAACATATAAAAAAAAACCTGTCGTCATACGGGCATTAGATTCTGAGAAATGGATAAAAATATTCAAAATTGATGGTATACGGATAATTTTGTCGTTGAGTGTATATATAATAAAAGAAATCCTTAGAAATTCCATCTCGGTTATAATTTATTTCATGAATATATTTAAATATGCATCTCTTCACAACGAAGGTTTTTTTTTTTTGAAATGAAATCAATCCGTGCAGACGATAGAAAAAAAAGGAAAATGAAAAAAAGAAAAAAAGGAAAAAGTATTTTATATCATAAAAAAAGAAGAAAGAAAACGAAAAAAATTCGATATAACATAAAAAATAACTGGGGAGGAGGAGAAAAGAGAGATGGGGAGAGAAAGGGGGAGGAAAAGAGGTAGGGAGGGAGAGAGATAGGATGTGAAAGAAAGGAAAGAAGGAAGAAATAAAAGGAAGATTTAGAAACAATTTTTTTCTTAAACTGGGTAATAGAGGGGGTGATCAGAATTAAAAGAGTTACAGTAATGTTTAGTAGTCATGTCATTTCAGACAGCAAAAACCATCACCGCATTATGATAATCATCACAATTTTAAATGAATAATAATAATAATAATAATAATAATGATAATAATCTCCAACTCAAATAAAATAAAGTAAATAAAAAATACATAAATAAATAATATAAAAAATTAAATCAAATAATTAAATAAATCAATCAAGTGATAAATAAAGAGCAAATTTAGAGATATATATATAGATAAGGATGAAAATAATAAACATAATACTATTAATAATATTAATATAAACATAAAATTAATTATTAATTTAAAATTATAAATGATGAAGGGAAGACAATCACATAAATGACTATATTTAAAAATGTGAATACACATACGTATATATGTTACCATCAATATAAAACAAAATCAACACTTCAAGTGTATATATTCCAAAGTCAATGTTTTTCGGGGATTTTAAATTTGTTCTTTTGTTTTGTGGTGTTTTTTTTAGTTAATAATAATAATAATAATAATAATAATAAATAATAATAATAATAATTAACTAAAAACAAATTCTTACAATTCTTACATTTTTTTACTTTTTAGTTAATAATAATAATAATAATAATAATAATAATAATTTGCTGATACAAGTCTTACTAATTAACCCATAGCTGGGGAGAGAATTAGTGCATTTCTATATTTCTCAAGAGTATTTGCGCGTAAGTGAATATAACAAACCCAACTGGAATTGGAACTGGGCAGTCCGATTAACAATTTCGAGCCGTTATCCGTTAATCCACCCGCTTATTCAAGATTACAGCACCTGATATTACCAAGTGGTCACCAATCTAGTTACTAATCGGGCTCAAGGTTGCTTAAATATGGTGATCCTACGTGAACCAGTGCTTCAACGTGATTTTGCCGTAAGACAGGAAAACAGGTGGAGTCAGGTACTTAGTGGAGTGGTACAGGGAATCAACCCTTTTTGCAGTATCTTTATCGATGTATGGCATGCACAATTTCCAGTTCAGGTCCCGTGATCAAAGGTTCTGGTTTCGATCGGCGACGGTAGAATGTCACCATTAAGGAGGCACACGCGTATTAAACCTTTGAGTCCTGACAACTGCTTGTAGAGGAAAATGACGTAATGTCCAACTATCGATTGAATAGTTGTCTCTTTCACTTTTCAATCGATTAAATTTTCACAATTAATACTCAATAGCATGATCTCTCGTCTTTATAACTTGCTGCAATCGTTTTCTAAATTTTTGACGAGATTTGAACAAATCTTTTCTGGGATTTTCTTCCATTTTTCAATGGTTAAACGTTCTAATTCCTGAAGCTTTTATGGTGACCGACGATTTATTCGAACTTTAAATTCTTGCCAAATATTTTCAATAGGATTCAAGTCAGGACTCACTGAAGGCCATGGCAGAAGTGTAAAAATAGAAAAAAATTGAACAATTTTCGCAATAGCATGGCCTCTCATCTTTAAAAATATGCTGTAATTGTTCTCAAAAGTTATTTGATGAGATTTTAACAAATCTTTTCTGGTAATTTCTTCCATTCTTCAAAGATTACACCTAATTCCTGAACGTGTATATATATATATATATATATATATATATATATATATATATATATATAGATAGATAGATAGATAGATAGGTAATTTCTTCTATTCTTCAATGATTATACCTTCTAATTCCTGAAGGTATATATAGCCCAGCAACCGGTTGAACGGTGGGTAAACACTTCTAAGTATTTTTATATCTACCGTGAAACATTATATACCAATTATTTGCGAATTTTGACTCAGAAGCTCAGGCAAGAGGGTGAAAAGTGGTTAGGATCTCACGATTAAAAGGGTTAAAACTATTTTTTTTTTGTTTCCTATTAACGAGTTGTCAATCACTGTAGTTTTATTTTCTGTTTTTTGCTTCTTCTTTTTAATTGCATCTGTTTTAATAGCCTTAATTAAAATTAAATATAGATAAAGGTCTGAATAATTCATAAATTTATAACAGAGACTTTCGGAAATCCTGTTGTTTCTCGTTTGGATAAACTTATGTATCTGTCTATATTTCTGAGATGAGGTATTATGTACATTATTTACATTATTCGGACTATTGTCCTCATCTTTGTCGCCATATTTATTACAACGTTTCGGCCTTTCAGTATCTGTCTATATTTCTGAGATGAGGTATTATGTACATTATTTACATTATTCGGACTATTGTCCTCATCTTTGTCGCCGTATTTATTACAACGTTTCGGCCGTTGTAAGATCCGGCCTTCTTCAGGTGGTTGGAATTTCGAACTGAACCATTTATTTCGCTCATTGGGGTAGACTGTTCTAATTCCACGTCCCATGTTTTAATATGAGCACTGGTAAAACATTGTTGTCGAAGATATTAGGTTTATAATACCCAGAAATTCATATATAGATGTCCTCAAGGACACGTGGTTAGGTCTAGTGACAGGACCCAAAGAGTGTGAGTTCAATACCCGGTTAAGGCAGTGGAGAACTTTCAGAGGGAAATTAATAGGAGATAACTGACAACTGACATCCATTAAAACATGGCACGTGGAACTAGAACAGTCTACCCCGGTGAGCGAAATAAAGGGATCAGTTCGACATTCCAACCACCTGAAGAAGGCTGGAGCTTATTTTTCCCGAATTACCCTCGAGCATATATCAATAGAAAATGTATGAATCCACCTCTTCTCCCTATCAATGGGTTAATTAGTAAGACTTGCATCATTAACATATTATTACCTCCATCAAAAAATCCTACAATTTAAAAATATTTCCTCATTTTAAATAAAGGGTTGATAAGTAGTACAAAACGAATCAATCAATCAGCCGGTGTACTCTCTGGCTTTACCTAGGAGACTACTCCCTCCAGCTATGGGTTAAATAGTATAACTTTTATTTAGAAAAATCACTTATCTAAATGTTGCACCGGCTCTAACACAAGGGAATTACACCGGTTCTCACTATATATAGTGCCAGTAATACCTACCCGGTGTAAGCAGCGACAGTACTACAACTGCCTAGCTGAGTAGTACCCGTCTCCTACCTGAGTAGTACCCGTTTCCTACCTTTGTATCTGTGATGTTAAATACACTTGTTCCTTAAACCAACTTCGACTTGATTTTCTTATTTTTACTATTGTGCCACGACACAACACTAAAAAAATGTTATTACAATATTCATTTGTGAAAAGACTTCTTACAATCTAAAATATTCTTCAGCTTTAAATGATCAACAAAGGGTTGATAAGCCATTAAAAATCTTCTTTTCAATTTTTGTTCTATCCATCAAATATATTTCTTTTGATTCTACTTCTTCTACACTTTCTTTTTTCAATTCTTCTTCTTCTTTTTACTTCCTTCTTCTTCTTAATTTCTTCCTTTTCTTAATTTCTTCTTCTTTTTCTTCTTCTTTCCATAGATTTCTAAATTCTTCTTCTTTTCCAATTAATTTTCCAAACTCCTCCTCCTCTTCTTCTTCTTCTTAGTTCTCTTCATTAGTAATATTATTATTGCTTATGATGTACCATTTTTCTTTGGTGCCAATTCAGGAGATTAACATTAGGTTACAAAATTGTCACTTTAGCTTTTTAGGATTTTGTAACAAATGCTCTTCTGTTGTTCTTCCATGTCGTAGATGCTTCAATTAACCCCATCGCTTGAAATCCAACCGATTGCATTACGGCTTTTCCATTCGTAATTGTCACCGACAACAGATGATCATCTCTACTTTCATTTTCACTTTTCTTACTTTCACTTTCACATTCTCTATTTTAATTTCCCTTATTTATCTCCTCCCCACGACAACACAGACGCCAATAATATCTAGATGTCGGATTAGATGGAAACGATTGATGATAGCAGTGTAGTAAAATTAGAAGCAGTAGTCGCATAAGTGGTACATGATGCGATTCTTGGGAATAATAATGGTGGGAAAGTTGGTTGGACGAAGCAATTCTAGATATTATCCCGGAACAACGACAGTCCATCACAGAAATTGATACCGTTCATAGATCAGATTACACCCCCCCGGCCCATGAGACCACCCAACAAAAGGCAACTGACCAACGTTAATGGGACACCAGCTTCCCATTCTGTTTCAATTATTTCACCTTCATCACTTGAGCAGGGTCGCCGTCCAGAAAGGTCACATTGCAAAGAGGATTGACGTTTTCTTTGGGACAGATTTGCGTTGTTACTTTAATTAAAATCGCAGATGATATCAAACTGCATACGTGCAAATCGGATTCTTCTTTTCTTTTCTCTTTTTTTTGGGGGGTGGTGGGGGTGGTGTTGGGTTTTAGAATTTGTCGCTCGTATTCATTCCTCTCGATTCTTCATCATACCATTTTCTCCTCTTCACTCCTAGTAAGGAATTTTTTACTCTTTCTTTCTTTCTTTTTTTCTTTGTTAAGTCAGTCTTTTTATCTCAGGCTTATATTTCTTTCTTTCTTTTTTCTTTCTTTCTTTTTTCTTTCCTTCTTTGTTAAGTCATTCTTTTTTTATCACGAGCAAATATTTCTTTCATTTTTTTCTTGTTAATTCATTCTTTCTTGTGTCGGGCTTAGGTATTTTTTCTTTCTTCCTTTCATTCATTCTTTCTTCCTTTCCTTCTTAAATCATTCTTTGTTTTTTTATCTCGGGCTTAGATTTCTTTCTTTCTTTCTTTCTTTCTTTTCTTTTCTTTTCTTTTCTTTTCTTTCTTTCTTAAGTAATTCCTTTTTTATCTCAAGCGAATATTTATTTCTTATTTCGGGATTAGGTTTCTTTCTTTCTTTCTTTCTTTCTTTCTTTCTTTCTTTCTTTCTTTCTTTCTTTCTTTCTTTCAAGTCATTCCTTTTTTATCTCCAGAAAATACTTCTTTCTTATTTCGGGATTAGGTTTCTTTCTTCCTTTCTTTCTTAAGTCATTCTTTGTTTTTTATCTTTGGGTTTGTTTATTTGTTTCTTTCTTTCTTTCTTCTTTCATTTTTCTTCTTTGTTAAGTCGATAATACTTATTTTGCACTTATATTGTCTTTCATTCCTTATAATCTGATCACATACAATCAGTTATGATTCTGAAAGTCAATGTTTCTCCATGCAATTTGGTATTAAAACGACACTAGGAAAATGTTCAGTTTATACTTATATGATAAATATCCGATTTAAATTCTAGTTTATAATATCAGCTTTTTGATAAAAATTACAATAATTTATTTGGTCGTACGAAATTTTATCCGGCAATTCAACAGTTGTTCATCCTAGATTGGAGATTTTGAGTAGCGTGGAACCACATCTTAATTGCTGCTGTCTCCTTGACAGGTGCTAGCAGCCCGGGTCAGAGTGGACCTGAGAACAACAGCAATTAAGAGGTGGTTCCACGCTCCTCAAAACCTCCAAAATCCCTATCAGAGGCCGTGCTGCCAGATGTAGTTTACTGTCATACCCAGGACTACCCAGTGGTGATTGGTGCACTGGAAATATAACACAAAATAAAAAAAAAAACAACGATATTTCTCGGCCAAAATGCAGAATATTGCATTCATAGGTATTTAGCACATAATCAGTTATGAATATATACTAATAGAATTTGCATGTGAATTCTCATATATTTTGCAGAACATATTGCAAACATTTCTTCATATATTGATGGTTCTTCTGTGAGTTTACTAAAGTTTACAACCGTGACGTAAATAGCTAGATAAATAGATATGAACAGACTGAATATATATATACATACGTATATATATATATACATATATATATATATATATATATATATATATATATATGAAGAGAGAGATAGAGACAGACAGAGAGATAGACAGACAGAGACAGACAGAGAACGTGAGAGAGAGCCAGACAGACAGTGTTTGCGAGATAGATAGCATCGGATGTACATAGATAGATTGATAGATATAAACATATATATATATATATATATATATATATATATATATATATATATATATATATAGACACAGAGAGAGAGAGAGAAAGAGCGTGAGAGACAGACAGTGTTTGTGAGAGAGATATGGATTGATAACATCGGACGTATATATACATAGATTGCTATATATAAATATATATATATATATATATATATATATATATATATATATATATATATATATGTTTATATATGAGAGAAAGCGACAGCGAGACAGAGAGCGTGAGAGAGACAGACAGTATTTGTGTGAGAGATATAGATTGATAACATCGGACGTAGATAGATAAATTGATAGATCTATACAGACTTTTTATATATATATATATATATATATATATATATATATATATATATATATATATATATATAATAAGATAGATAGATAGAAAGAGATAGATAGATAGATAGATAGATAGATAGATATAGATAGATAGATAGATAGATAGATAATCTAAGAATGGAAAATCTTCGCTTAGAACTTGTATAACCTTCAGCCACCATACGAAACATCGGCAATTATATCAAATAATAATGGGAATATCTATAAAAAAAAACGGGCGAAGTCATTGGAAATATTAAATAGAATACTAACGATCGCGCTGGAGAATTGAGGAAACTTGTTGTCATTTGATCCTCAGTGATCTCCTATTACTACTGAAATGAAAAGTGAGTGACTCAGGATACTTCCATGGCTGGACAAGAAAGGAAATTAAATCGCTGAGTCGTCATCACAGGGTATTAACTTTTAGGCAATTGGCTTCACGCCATTGATACCAGGAAAGATTTTTAAAATGAAGAGAAGTAAACAACGTCTATCGAAAATGCAGTTTTGTCGACAACATTTCTTTTATGTGCCATGTCCCTTCAGGTCGTGGATGACCCTTACTCTTCACAATTTCCTAACCTTTGTAGCCTTTAGTAACTTCTCTTAATATCCCTTTTCTAGTATCCACTTTAAGATGGGTTATTTGTTGTTACCCTCTGAAATTCTTGCCATATGTCCTGTATCAAATACTTCAATCCTTCTCTCCTCATTTTGTGTCCTGTATATTTTAACTGTCCCTGTCTGATTCTATGTACAAGCGTCCATTTTGTTTCCGTTTTCCTGAAATCTTCCTCATTGCTCAGATGCTCCTGCCATGGTATTCTCATCCTCTTTCTATTGACCCGCATCTCTTAATGGTGTGTGAAAAGAAGCAAGACGGAACAGATCGAGTTTGATGAGTATTGATCATAAAATGATAATAATCAGCGACAATTGCAATAAATAAAATCAAAAAAAATGGAAAAATGCACCATAGAAAACTTGAAAGACGAATAGAAAGTGATACATCGAAAAATTCGCAATAATGAGAAAATGAAAGTTCAAATTCAACCGCCCTTGTTACTCTCATACAAAATCTTGCCGTATTTAATTGTTAAGGTTCCGTTGTATCTGCATTCCCGATTTCCCTAATGTTGTCTAGTTTCCTCTTGGATACCTGTCCGAGGTTCTGTTAGCAAATTCATTAAGAGGTGATTTACATGTCTCTTGCATACCAGAACATTCTCTAACCTTGCCCGAAAAGTCAGCGGACCGATTTACTTTCTCTAAAACCCCCGATAACCATTTGTTTTATTTCTTGAAAATTAACAACTGAATCCGTAATGGAAAACAACCTTTGATGGGGTCTTCTATCACCATTATTCCAACCCCATTATACAAGTTATTGCAAAAATATGTTCCCCGGAAATGGGAACAGGCTGGAAATGTTGCGTTTAAGGAAATCAAAAAGTTTATTAACGTCGGCACACTAAAGTTCAAAGTTGAAACTTACCTTGTCCGTGAACGCATCTTCATTTGGTATTGGAATAGCTTTATCACATATTATACCAGATGGAGGTGAAAAAGTGATCTACCTTGCTTCTTGGACATTATAGAACGTGAAGAACTACACTTACCAAATTCCATAAATACGTTTACGGTTGTAAATTTACTATCATAAAGAACCCAAACCACTGCTTGGGCTTTTAAATTAAGACAATGCATTAATATCCACAGCAAGTGGAATGGTTCAGTGTTTGTCACTAATATTATGCAGTTACTAATATGGCGGAATCCACTTCCAGGAATGCTACACACGATGAAATCAGAAGCATTTCTTGTTCTCCTGACTGGCTCACTTACAACATAAAGTAGATTTTTTTTTGCAACACGCTGACGGGTGATGAAATTCTCACAGTATTTATTATTGTTGAAAGAATCGCTAACATTTTGGTTGAGATTTACAAACTGTACGTTTTGTTTAATTTCGTAAAACAATCAATGAAATTTGAAAAAGCTGATTTGATTGAAAAATTATTTTGACAAAAATCATACTTTGCGGTTTTATAATTTCTTTAATTTAATTTAATACAAGACTTCATGTTAAACAATATTTTTTACGAACATTTCTTTTTCTCCTTTTTCCTTTTTCACAGCGAAGAATAAATTCTTAGGATTTCTTAAATAAATATTTGTTATTTTAATCATTAAATTGTTTTTTTTAAGTTGGAGTATTTTGGATGTTAAATAATAAAACTTAATTTTTCCAAAAAGTATCTATGAAAATGTATTGTACTAATCTGAACACCCTAGTAAAACTAATTGTACTTTGTACTCCTTTACCTGTTAGTTAGAGATATTTTTTGTAGTAGTAATTTCATTCTTGAAAAAGATTTTCCTTATTTTTCGAATATAAGTATGATGTGTTGGCTCTCTTAATACGTGATGCTGTTCAAAGAATACATGTCGCAGGTAAACATACAATGAAAATTAGCCTCATTTTGAAAACGTCTAATTTATTAGTTGAAAAATCTAGGAAAAATAAACATTATAAATAATTTCTCGACGCACACTTACTTCTCAAAAGAAAAACGAAGAAGTGTTTACTGAAATTTTAAGAAATTTTTGCCAAGAAACTGCCACCTGTAGAAATCCTTACATCATTCAGTTTTGTTGAAGTTATCGCTAACATTTTTTGTCGAAATTTACAAAATCTACGTTTCGTTTAATTTCGCAAACCAATCGCTGAAATTTGAATAAGTTGATTTATTTGAAAAAATACTTTGACAAAAACTTTACTTTGCAGTTTAATAATTTCTTGAATTTAATTTAGTTTTATCGAACTTCTGAGTAAACAATATTCTCTAAGAAAATTTAATTTTTTTTTTCTTTTTAACAGCGAATAATAAATTCTTAGGATTTTTTACTCTTGAGCATGCAACATTTCCGCAATTTCTTTCTGGAGCCAAATTCTAACTTTTTAATCGTTTGGCTTTGTTATTTGTTTATACTTCTCGCAAACGCAGGACGAATTCGAAACTGGATTATTATATATAAAAATTTAAAGAAAAGATATGCAACAAACGGTATTGAATTTTTATTCATTATAAAAAACAAAACGATATGATCATATCGATTTTTATTGTGCGTAGTGTCACCACAAATGTATCCAGACGTTTCCGGTGTCTGTTTTTTTAATTTCAATTTAGGTCAGAGAATCAGTAGCGAATTATGATATCGAAAAATAATTCATATTTTCTGTATCTCACTCATTTAAACCGTTATTTAACACCTCTATTTAAAACTTCTCTATGTTAAATTTTAATCCCCAGCTTCACCTTTAGGCCTTCCCGTGCTTCTTTCTTTTGTTTCACCTCTCTCTTGAGCTTTCATACATTTCCCTCTCACACTTTTCCCCCACTCCCACACATACACTCTCACTAAAATTTTCCTTTTATACCCAGAGTTACATTTTCCAATTTCTTTTTGAATTTGTAGGTTTGATGATTTGAATCGTGATTACGATTCCAATGTAATAAATTATAACGATGGAATATTAGTGTTTCAGCCTTTTCTATTATATTCTTGGTCTGTCCTGGAGATTGAGTTCTACCTGGATTCTATCCTGTTGGGAATTTATATTTATATATATATATATATATATATATATA